CAGCTGGTCTTCCCTTTATGGGATCGACATGAAAATTAAACCAGTCATTGGAAATGGATTCAGAAGTTTGGTGTTATGTATTTCTTAAGGCAATCGATATTTCCATTGAAACGATGAACAAAAAAATTGAAAATCGGTAAAACATGAAGTTTTGCGCGAACCAAATATGATATGAAAAAGCTAATACTATGAATGCCTTAAGGACGGTGCCTACTAAAAACAAAGGTTTTCGCGCCTGGTTAGGACCACGCGGAAAATGTAGATCTTTGCAAGGGCTATTGGAATCCACAAAGAAAAATGGGGGTAGCCACGCATTTTTTGGAGAATTAGCCTTGAATCTCAACAAAATTGCTGACATCAGCATTTTTCTGAAAAAGAAGCATCGTAAACAACACAAACGTCCAGGACAACAGAAAGGCTGGAAGGGATCCATACACTTCTAGCAAGTATTGAAACTCACCACCAGATTTCGGAATCAGGGTTCCTAACTCGCTGTAACATAACGCGCCGAAAAGCGCGAATATCCCGCAAATGGTCCACATCACTAAAGACATTCCTTCGGAGCCAACATAGAACAGCACCCATTTTGGAGTTGCGAAGATCCCCGACCCGACTATCGTTCCAACGAGGAACGCAATTCCTCCGGGAACTCCCAAGGAACGTTTTAGGATGGGCGATGTTCCGTCCCGCTTTTCGCCACCGTGTTCGACGTCTTTATTTTGCGTAAGGAACCTCTGAGACGGGGAATCCTCCGACATGATCACTAAATCAAGAATTATCCGATCTTTGCTGAGCCAAAATGGACCCTATAAATCTGGTGCGTATCGTGTGAGTTTCACATGTGTGATCGTGACACGTTCTTTTCTGGTTGAGAATTACCTCCGTAGAAGTGTAGTTTTGACCGTATTAAACTGGTGAAGTTTTTATGTTCGACTAATTCAAAGCAATTCGTACGTATGTTACAAACGAAAAGCTTTTAAGCCTTGTTTGCACTACGACATAGGCACAAACACAAACATAAGCGTAACGACAGTAAGGATGCCCATGACACAACCACGTGCTAGTGAGGACGCACACAACACAAGCACAAGCAGAACAGAAACATTTGTTTTCTCTTGCTTGTGCTTGTGCTTATGTTAAGTTAGAACACGCTGCTGTAAGCATAAACATAAGCATAAGCTCGCCATCTTGTTTTACTGTATCGAGGAGGTCGAGGTAAGGCAATTATTCATTTACGGATGCCATGTGCTTACGCTTATGTTTGTGCTTATGTCTTAGTGAGAACCGGGCCTTAATAACGCACACGCTTGCCGTTCTCCTTTGTCAGATCTTTGTAAAAAAAAGAAAAAAAATAGATCACACATTCAAGGAAATTCCTTTTTTCTTATTTCTAAACGATGCAGTCAGACTGGCAAAATCTAATCGTATATTAAAAATGTCTATAGATTGAGAAGTTTTGTCACAGGCAGATATTTAGAGCCATGTCAGTCACGCGATCTAAAAACGAAAAGAGTCACGTGGAGCCTTCGTGTGTATGCATTGGACGCATGTTGCAGGGGCAGTATACGCATGCTGGTGCAAAAGGGGATGTTGGGTCATTTCTTTGTTGTAGCAGGACAATAGAAATTGGGGTTATTTTGTCCCTGCTTCATGACCAACAAATTGAAACCAGCTGAATTTCATGCTAAATTGGAAACTGGGGTTATTGTTGAATTAGTGATTGTAAATAAGATTATCGTTTTTGTTTCTTAGCATAACGTGTAATTATTTTAGATTGGATTTGTGACCTGACTTAAACTTCTTAAAGTTTTAAAATTTTTATTCACGTTATAATATTTACTTTTAAATTTATTTTCCATTCATGTTGAATACCTGTAAATTAGCGGGCGTGTCATTTCATTATGTAATGTCACACCTGAATAGCTAGGCGTATGACACAATAAATTATATTGTTTTTGTTGTTGTTGTTGTTGTTGTTTTTATCCCTACTTCATGACCAACGAATTCAAACCAGCTGAATTTCATGCGAGGACAAACTTTTGCCCCCATTACAGAAATTTTTCGCAAAAACGGACATGTTACACGAGGAAAACTGTCGCTGTAAGATGTCCAAACTTCATGTCCCCGCAACATGTACCGTAGTGCGTGCCCACCGTAACAGTTAATCATGGCTCGAAGTTGTGTGAAACGATCTCGTTTTACTCGTCTGTTCACAGCCGCACCTTTTATATATGTTCTCCATGATCTTAAGTGTAGACAGACCACTTTTAGGTAACGTTACTAAGGTTAGATCGCTTCTTTATTAATTATAGCGTCCGCTGAAATAGAGGGTTGAACAGAACAGTTTCCATTGACGAATAATAGTAGCCCTCTTTCGTAACTAATTATACATCACATAGTTTTGCTACTAGTAAGTGAGAGAAAACAATATTCAAGATTAAAAAATAAGTATGGCCAGACTTAAATAAAAAAATTTTACTTTTACTCTGGGGGTATCCAGGATGGTTCTTAGAAGGGTTGCACCACTAAGGAATGGCGTAACTGACTGGTGAGGTAAACAACCCTCCCCCTAGATCCGCCTCTGTTTACTTTTTTCACTTTTCAGTTTCATAGTCAGCGTACAGACGTTCAATGAAATTGGACTGCTATAGTGAATTCAGCGACGTGCCATTAAAGCTCAGTAACCTTTTCACGAAATACGGAAACTAGCAACTGAAGAAAAGCCTTTTTGAGGATTATGAAAATTACTATGATGGCAAGGCTAAAAAGAAATAGAAATTGTTGAATTCAATGAAAAAGATAAAAAAGAGCGTTATTTACAATAAACAAAACCTAAGTGACAGGGCAAGTGCTATTGAAATATGTATCAGGTAATTCGGCGAAACTTCAAAATCCTCCCCCCGGTCAACTCCCGCGCAGTAGACATTTTGAATCATCAGTTGGTCAAATTCCCATCCCCAGAGCAAAAATGGTGTTTAAATGCCCCACCTTAGGATCCGTGCTACGCGATCAAATCCCCCAACCCCTAGAACACACATGAGAAAAATAAGTAGAAGCAAGAGTTTGCTCTTGGTAGGAGAGAAGAAACGAAAAAAGTCAGCCTCAAACGACCGCTTTCAACTCCACTGTGCCAAAAATGATCTTTTATATATATATTAATACCCTCTAGAAGTTTCTAATCTTCGCAAGTGAAACTTAATGTTTACCTTCAACTTTTGAAGGCATTATTTTTGATGCACAACGTACACAAAGAACGGTGTATGTCTCTTGTTGCCTTCTGTAACGCCCCATGATCTCGAGGGCACTTGTTCAACTCCCCCCTACACCTCACATGTAGTGTCAAATTCCTCCACCCCAATATCAACCACTAAGGTCAAATTCCTGTTCCCCCGGGGGCGTATCGATCGTTCAAATGCCTGGGGCTATACCCGGGAGCCATAGGAGGGATGTTAATGTCTCAGTTTCAGCGATACATAAAAAAAAAAACAAAAAACGAGCAAGCCAATTCTCGCATGGGATTAAGTCCGCATATAAGTCAAAATTTTGACTGTCATCTGAAGAAAGACAAGTTTGTTAACTGATAGAAGAGATCCGAGTTCTGAAAAACTGAGAAATGGGCTGAAATGTTAACTGACAGTGAGAAATAGCCGAAAGTTTAACTGACAACTGCAATTCTGACAGACCCATCCAGACCCTCGAATAAGCTTATCATATCCAGAAAAAGCATGAAAATTGATTTCAATTTTTTTTTTATCCTTTGTGTCCTCTAGGCTTGACGTTGAGTAATCTCGAACTCAACATAAAGTTAACCCTCTAGTATAACCCTAAAGGACCCAAAGCGTTAACTGGCTGTCGATCCAGACCAAGTCTTGGTGTAACTGTAATATAATAAGCGTAAGTTGATATCAAACAATTGGCTTGACGAGCAAATCCTCGTAATAAACCGATTGTACTAAGATTATGTTGGAAACCCCTGTGCGTCCGTGAATTCCCTTCCAGGCTGCAAAACAAAGGTAAAAAATAAAACAAAGTAGCCCCTGGTCATACCGGAAGTGGATTTGAAACTTTACAAGAAAATCCGCAGCTGTTGAAAACGTTCAAATTCGACTGAATCGATAGGCTCGATGACTAGCCGCTGTTCGAGGAAGGAGGTCGCACCCCTCCCGGGGAGGAATGTAGTGATTGAGTGCAGGGGCGCTTACCGTAAATCCTCGAATTAGCGCTCCCCCTCCTCGAATAAGCGCCCCCTTCGAATAAGCGCCCCTCCTATCGGCCGAAATTTAAAATAAGCGCCCCCCCCCCTCGAATAAGTGCACCCCTCCCCTCCCCCCATTTTGTAGAAGAGCAATGAGACAACAAAGGATCTAATACTACGTGACTTAGTAAGTACTAACGGTGACGCGATTTAAACTTAAGGATCAACTTTTTATGTCGATAAACATCTTATATCGTACTTACGAGCAGATGATGTTTTAACAAAATGATCATGCTAGGCCACGATTTGGGAAAAATGANCCCCCCCCCCCCCCCCCCCCCCCACCTTGATTAAATGCCCCCTCGAATAAGCGCCCCATGTCTTCTTCTAAATTTGAAATAAGCGCCCCGGGCGTTAATTCGAGGATTTACGGTATATGTTTTCCCGCTCTTGTGAGTTAGCGGCGGAAATCAACCCTACAAGATCGACAGGAGCCGAAAACGAGCAATAGGCCCTTTGCAGCTAAGCCATCACGTGACCTATTTTTGATAAAATTATGGGCTATAACTTAACGAATGCCGGAAATGGAAAAAGCATGTCAAAAATATAAAAAATGGCCAAGTTTGAGGCCCCCATCATTAAAGAATGAGATTTTTTGACGGTCTGAATTTTTGAAAGAATAAGAAGATTTGTATGGAAAAAGTTGTTGGAGAGCAAGACCTCGCTCTCTAGCAACATTTTCCATACAAATCCTCTAAATTTTCCGAAAATTCAAACTGTCGTATAAACTTACTCTTTAATTCCTTGGGCCTCAAACTTGGCCATTTTGGTATTTTCGATGCGCTCTTTCCATTTCTGGCATTCTTTAAGTTATAGCCCATAATATAAAAATTTTCTAAGAAAAATTTAGTCACGTGACCCCAGCTGCAAAGGGCCAATCCGTCCCCAAAAAAAGTGAATTATCACCCTAGCAACCACAAACGGAGTGGTTAAAATTGGTGGGTAATTATAGGTGTTTACAGGGCCAAATTATGCAAGATGTTATCAAGATGTGTTAGATCGGTTATCAGTGATTGTCACAAAAAGGAGTGCATGCATGTTGCGTGGTTCTGCAAGGGTATAGTGCATAACTGTAGTATTTACAGGGGTATCCAGCGGTTTACATACAAAGATATGTCGGCGCGTGGGTGTTGGAATGAGACAACCTTGTTCCCAGGGTCTCTCATCTTCCCGCCCCTGAGAGACCCTGGGAACGCGGTTGAGATTGAACAGAGCAGTCGCCAATAATAGAGCAGGCATATCGGGCCGATTTACGCACTGACTTATGTTCGTCTGTAAGTTTAAGACGATTACTAATATGCTTGAAACTCTCCAATAATCTTGCAATATCATTTAGAAAACAAAGAGAAAAGCACCCAGTATTATCTACAGATACGTAGTTACCTTTTTGTGTGGTTTTGAATGTTTTAACATTTTTATTCTTCATTTAAAGGAATTTCTGATTACTTACGCCGCTATGCAGAAGAAGAAAGCTTCCGCTTCCCCTCCAGCAATGGTTTTTCAACGAAGACCACCACGACAGTATCCTTGTTATAGTATTATTCAGGGCGTAAATAGACTCGTAAATAATCATCAATAGTCATTCAGGCTTGATCTCTCTGTGAGTTATAAGTTTATGGTAAACTTGAGCTTACTTTTCTGTGTGGGAAGAGGGTACTTCCTAGCTAGTTATAGGCTAATGGCGATGTGCCGCTGAATGGGGTCACATTGTCACAACTCGATTGACTATGATGGGGTCGCATTTTCATTTGAATTACTAGAATGGGGTTGCACATTTCTGAGGTAAGAAAATCCTGGCAAATAGGGATTTAAAAATGGGCAGATCTGAGGTGAAAAAGTTGATACCGTGCTGCACTCAGTTAAAAAACTGTGTAAGTTCATTTTATGATGAACTAGTCAAAAGGCTTTATAAGGCAGATGCATAAACAGAAAGTGACTTAGTTGGGATTGCAAAAATCGAATTTGCCCAAAACTGTCTAAGATGGGGTCTATAATTGGCCACAGAATAGACTATAATGGACTAGGGGTTCTGAGAGGCCAGTGAAAGTATGCAGCAAAAATTGACTGAAGTACCCCCCTGGGAATGGATACTGTATTTTCTGAACCACATGAGGTTAGTTAAGATACATTTGTATTCCTTAATTCATTGATCTTAGAACTCTCCATAGATCACCTTCATCACAGCAAAATAAGGGTAAGTCTTTATTATCTGTGAATTATGAGTGTAAAATTTAGTTTAACTTTGTTGTGAAAAGGGATAAGTGGAAAATAAAAACGGGATGAATGAAAATGTGAGGTGGGATAAAACTGTTGGTGATTGGGATCTTGTGCACTAAAGGCATTCACAGTCCAGTGTCAACTGATACCCTCGCTCAACCCTGATTCAACACTTGATCAACGTCTTGATCAACACTTGATGGACATCTTGATTGATACTTGGTCAACACTCTATGAACATCTCGATCGACACCTGATCGACACTTGATCGATAGCCGGTTGATAGTCGGCCAAGTGTTGACCGACTCATATACATCGATCAACACTCAAATTGGCATGTGTGCAAAAATAAGTTGACTCTTGACCGACTGTCGACCAAGATGTTGGTCAAGCAACAATATCAATGGAGGTGTCAATCAAATGTCAATTGAGTATCAATCAAGTGTTGATCAAGGGTCTCAATTGAGGGCATCTATTGACTCTTGACAACAGAGGCCTTTACTACACACCTGTGGGGTTACTCCTTATAATGGCCTATATGGGGAGGTTCCCACTGAAAGGGGTACCTTCAGGCTTTAGGTATATGAAAGGGTAGGTAAATCTGTCACCTTGACTCCTGCCACAATTTGAACTGAATGAACAATACTTGTTTTTTTGGTTAACATCTCTTCTGGTATCATCTTTATCTTTAATCTTTAATACAAATTCCAAATTGTCTTAATTAGCATTTTTGCCTACTTATTATTCAACTTGCTTTGTAATCATTCATTCAACTGAAGATGACAGAAGTTCTGTTGAAACATGTCTTTTAAACTTAAAAAATTGGTCGTTTTCCTTAAAATCTTTACATGTCTGCTGCTATCTAGACCTTTTGAAATTCCAAATTACATTACATTGAACAAGTCAATCCAATGAATTTGAGGACAGCTTAAAACAGAATACAAAGATTACAAGATCATGCTTGATGTTCTCCTGTAATATTGTTCATTAAGGTTACGCAATACCTCAAGAGTGCTACTTTTGCCAAAATTTTCTTTTTAAGCAAAGCAAAAAGGTCACACTATAAAATCTAACGTTTCCTAAAAAATGAGGGTGAAATCTTAAAATCAGGGTTCAAAAAATCCACTAGTCCGACTCCTGGAGCTAGTAAATGTTTTCGTTTGGCTAGTGAATAAAATACTTTACTAGCCCAGTGGGCTAGCAAGCCACTTAAAAGCCAAGTTGTTGAATTGACGGGCAAGATTTACAATGAAATATTTAGAAAAGATGTTTCTTGTGAAATTAATCACATGAAAAGTCTGTACTATTGCTATCTATTACCACCTATGCCCAGTGTTTCCGGTGTGTGAATCCCGGGTTGCAATCAGAGATGGCCCCCAGAAAAACGAAAAAAGGGCCAATTTAGCCCTTTCCTTTTACAAGGGTGCAGGCTTAACACAGGCATAGTATTTTAAAAGCCATTCCAGGGCTTCAAATTGTGACCGATAGCGTCATCAATGCAACTAACATTTTCATCCTTGGCAACCAAAAATTCTGGTTTAGTTGCCATGATGGCGGCTACATTTCTCTGTGTTGATGATCAATGACGGTTATTTCCTCACACATTATGACCTTCTAGAAAACCATATTGAAAGATTTTTGCTTCTAAAACATTTAACATAAGAAAAGAATTCAATCCATCCTTTTGCTTTGCTGTATTGATTCTCTGACGGAAAACTTCCAAATGGCTGACCGTGTTTGAAATTGTCCTATTAATTGCATTGCAAACCCTTGATCATTGACTATGTCATGTATGCCTATGGATTGTTCTCTTTTAATGCACGGATCCTTCATACCGGTATATCTGGTGACCAAAAATTTGCATTTAGCAACTAGTTTTTACCAATTATTATTTATTGGCCATTTTCCTAAAAAAATTGGCCCCTAAAAAAGGTCTTCAGAAGCCACTTCACTGGAGGTCAACTTGGTGAAGAAGTAGCTGAACTGAACATGTTCAATGTAGCTAATGATTCTCACACCGAAAGTTGATGTTTGTAGTAGACTGTTGTGTTTCCAAAAGAAAGTTGATTTCAAGCACTGAATTTAAACTGGCAGTACTCGAAATTCAGAATTGGATTAAATGGATGTTGATATTTTATAAGTTTCAATAATTGAAACTTATAAAATATCAACATCCAATTATTGTGTGTGTGTGTGTGTGTGTGTGTGCGTGCATGTGTGTGTGTACCTAAGCATGAGACTGGCTCACATAACAAATGTGTACTGGGCTAGAGCTCTCAGGCTCTGGGCTAGTAAAACAATATTACTAGCTAGCCCACGGCTATAAAGACTTCAGAGAAATTTTTGAGCCCTGAAAAGGTACCTGAGTTATTTGGGAAAAAAAGGTTTTTTTTTAAAATAAAAGTTAACAAAACAGATAGGTGTCATAATCTTCATAGCACGTTGACTTTTTGCATGAAACAGCTTCCTTCAGCAACTCTTATTACAAGGGCAATCATTAGAATTTTCTTGTTTACTCGCTATTTTGCAGTTGTGTTCTTGAATTAATTTGCTCTTCCATGCTACCTGTCACTCCTTATTGAGGTCATGAAACATGCTAAAAAGGAAGAGAAAAGTCCTTGCACAGTGAAAAAATCGAAGCCAGTACCTAAGAAGAAGACTAAAGCAGAATTTCTCAAGGACACTTGAAGAAAACTTTGACTGACAGCAGCAAGGGATCATGCATACTCGTATCCGTACTCTTGCCCCGTGTATTTTTCTTGGTTTTCCCCATTTCTCACGAGAGGTGAAGACTGCTCTATAAATGCATGCTGAAGTTCAACCAAGGGGAATGTGACTGTTACGCTATTTGGCCTTGGGGTTCCCACCAAAATCATTTCACTTGCTGTGAACGCTAGGGGTGCCATGATTTCATTGGCTGGCAGCATATTCTGTTGACATACATCCAAGTAAGGGTGTGACGTGTTTACAACTCTTCAAATGGCAATAACTCGCAATAGTTTTTTTTGCGAGAATACCATCTCTTTAACTGAATTGATAGGGTATGTAGAATTGGAAGATTTTCATGAAATTTGGCCAGAACATTCCCCAAGCATCGAGGAACAAAAGTGTATCAGGGACTTTTGATATCATGGATATCTATCTTGCGACGGCTGCAAATGCAAGACGGTTGGCAAATTATTCTGTGCTATAACTTAATTGGTCTATAAAAAGATAACCAATAAGAATACAGAAAATCCCTGACACATTTTGAGAGATTGACGCTTGATGACTGCTTGCTTTTAACCCATTGACTCCTATGCCGGTCGTAACCAGCCGTCCCAAGCCTTGGCCTTTCTTCCACTTCTGACATCATCATCCTTGACCAAAATTGGCATCATCTATGCTCAACTTCGGCAGGAGGAAAAGATCTTTCCAATGATACCCAGGTCAGAGTGATCGGCCCAATGGAGCCTGAGATATGCACAAAAATGCTCAAAAAGTTGAGTGAAAAACTCAGAGCAAAATTTCCTGCCCCTACACATGGCT